ACGTCGAACTTTCTTGTTAGTTTTTTCTCGTTGTCTTCGTCTTGAGCTTTCTCCATAGACGCTTGCTTTCGTGTGTTTCGAGCAATTGGGGTTGGTTCGATGACAGGAGGTTGTTCTTCTTCTGTGATACTTTCACTTGGGTTTTCGACAACCTCAGTTTCAGTCTCACTACTCATTTTTGGTTTGTATTTTTTCAGTTCTCCGTTTTATTTTTTTGTCTTTTAGGTTTACAGTTTTTTTTTTAAAAACTCTACAAGACAGACCAGCTCAAAACAGAGAGTGGAGGGACTCATTTATTTGAACGACTCTCTCAACCAACACGACTTGTATAATTAATTGTGTCTTAAGAACCGAAAAGAATCTTTTTTACAACATGTCGATTGTTTGCTGACGTTAACATTTTTACACAACCCCACTACATTCAAGAATACTGACAAACTCTATTTGAAATTAAATATATGGAACACTGTCGTATGTGCAAATCACAACATATTTTAAACCCCAAAGGTACCACGTTTGTATTAATGGTTCTTTCTTTTGCCAAAATTGGTGATTGAATTACGTTTGTGTCGTTCTTTTTGTTTTTCACTGAAAACCCACTTTTTAAGTTTAAACTGAAGTGTTGTGTTATTGATTCATTTTGCTCATTTTTGGTATGACAGTTGTTTTGTAGTTATACCGCGTTACTCTACGTCGACGTGCTTTCAAAATGGAAAACAACGTTTTCAAAATAAAGAACACTTTTTTGATCAATCACTTGATTTTGAGTTTTTATTCATTTGATGTTCTTCGTTGTTTGTGTATCATTCTTATTTTTCTGTTTCTTCAAATTTTCTTGTTATTTGCTGTTTTCTTGAAAAACCTAAAACAGTCTACGATTTTTGTGGATGGATTGTTGGAAAATTAACAGAAAGCAGAAATAAAAGAATTACACAATAACACAGGCGTTACGAGAGTTGAGGACTGTTGTGGACGTCTTCAGAAAAGTGAAGTACTCCAACGATATGATGTCAACCACTTCTTGTATTCCTCCAGAAGTAAGCGATGAAACTTCCAAGTAAAATGCGTTGCACTTCGCGGCGACATCTTTTGCGTCGTCTTGTTTGACCGCTCTGTTTTTAATATCAGATTTGTTCCCAATAAGAAATTTGAGGTACGGTGTCGACATGTAATGGTCGCCAAATCCTATCCACCGCGGGCTGTCTTTCAAGCTTTCTTGAGAATCCACGGAGAACAGAATGATCATAATTTTAGCTATTGAGAATGTTTTTGTGACGTCAGTGTATTCATCCTCCACTTCTTTTATTTCTATGGCCTCTTTGAATAATTCATTTCTCATGTTCTATTTGTCAAGAAAAGTATTCTTTGAAAAGTTTAATACCAAGATACAAACATGATTTCCTTTGGAGTTGTTGTTAATATTCTTCTGGAGTTGTGATATGAAGTGTGACTTGCCAGTGGACTTGTTTCCTAAAACAACGACTCCAACGGTGCTCCGTGGTGACATTCTCTGCTCTCTAATTTGAATAAATAGATTTTGGGATCAAGTATCTTCTGACTTTTTAGTCAATCAAAGACAAGTTTATAACCTGCAAATGGCAACCATTATAAATTTAAAAAAACGAAAAATTTAAATAAAGAATAGTTCAACACTAGTTTTGTTTTTCGTGGAGTTGGTCGTTATTTTCTGCCTTTTCTTTTTGCTCCTCTTTCTGTTTTGGAGTAAAGAGATCAAAAAAGTAATCAAATATGGTGGCGTCTATGTGGTTTTCAAGGATTGCATTAACAGCAATGAAAAGACCAAACGCAATTGTTAGCGCGTCATACCAACGATCATTCCCTTCTACTGCAAAATGAGAATAATAAAGGGGCAGTGCTACTATAATTTCTGAAACAAAAGTCCAAGGAACGACTATAAATGGTTTGAAAGCACTAACAGGGATGTTGAGAATATATTTCAAAAGCCATTTTGAGACATCGTTACCAAAAGAAGCAAAAAATGAGTGGGGGATTACAATAAATACCGACTCTGTGTTTGACATTTTCGCTAACAATACCATCTGAATGGCTTTGTTTGAAAGTCGAATACCTCGAACAAACGTCACAACGTCACGTAGAATAATATGTTTTTCAAACATAGAGGAAATAAAAGGTACTTCAAGTAAACATGCTACTAAAAGTTGGACCAATAAAAAGTCGAGAGGACACCGCATCTCAAAAGTAAAAAGTAGGGACGTCATCAACGCTCCAGAAATCCCAAATAAAGTTGACGTTAATATTCGTTGTGTTATAAATTGATAACTCCTCAAATATTGATGAATTGCGAGCTGTGTCGAAAACGCATGGAGTATTTGAAATGTGTACAAAGAACAGATGTAATCCATATACGCATTCTCCATTTTCTTTAATTTGAGTTATGTCCTGTCAATATGTTAAACAAATTATTGTTATTTATGATTAATAATTACCTATTGTTAAGTTGTCGCTATAACTAATTTATAGACAATATATTACTGTTATTTTACCTGATACGCCATTAAAAACCTATTTGTTAATAAATATAATTTTTATGGGTTTTTATTTTTTTCATTTATAAAACTTAGTTCATTTTATTTGTTTGAATGAAAAGTGCTAGAATATAACACTTTTTATATAAAAGTGTTATATATATTTTATATAACAGAGTTATATAAAAATATAGTTATTGAATTATAAATATACAAATAATAAAATGGTGATATTCAATGCTAATTTTCGGGAATAAATTAAAAATTAATATAAATAATAATTATATTAAAACTAAAAGGTTCATTGTAAATTTTTATTGTAGACAAATTAAACTCATTGTAACCAATTAAATTACATTTATAATTTTTACAAATAAATAATTATTTTATAATAAAAATATAACAAAAAACAATAAAAAGAATATATAGCTTTCTATTAAAAAAATTTCAATATTAATTTTAAGTTAAAAATTATCGGGAATATTAAAAAAATAATAAAATGAAAAATTAAATAACAATTAAAAAGAGAGGAAATCAATCCGATATAAATAGTTGAACATTAAGATTTACTAAAAGAATAAAAAAACAACTAATAAGACCTATAAGTTTCAGAAGGGTCAATTGAACAAGAAAAAAAAACAGGAAAAGATGAGGGATGGTGACAAGGTGGGTTCACCACACAAGCACCATAACACAACATACCAATACACAACAACCCACACCCACCGTACACAACAAACGAATACAACCAAACACTTTCTTGACATCACCGTTCATGATCACAAACACCCACTCCCCATCAATTTCGAAGTAAAAGTAGAATAGTTGACTTGAATAGTAAATACATTAATAAAAAACTATTAGTGATTGGGGGTGTTCTGGAGGAGATACGAATCACCTTCTAATGCGTTGAAAATTTGCCAAAAATTGGGAAAAGGTCGCAAGTCCATCCGAAACCCCACAACGAAAAGAGAGAATTGCCGTCAATGGTTTCCATTAGTTCTGGAATAATTCCACTACGCGAAAAGAGAAAACGCAGAAATCAAAGAAAACCCTCACAAAAGTGAATTTGGGTGTTCCAACTCAAAATTCAGAACAAGACCCATGGCTCGTACGAAAGGTATCAACTCCGAAAGACCATCATCTTCAAAGGCTCCACGTAAATACTACGCACCAAAAGCCGCTTCTAAGAAGGCAGCCGTCTCATCAAAGAAGGCTGTCGCTGGTGTCTCGCAAAAGAAGCCCGTTGCCCGTCATACTCACCCAGGTATCAAGGCATTACAAGAGATTAAATTCTACCAAAGATCGACGGAACTCTTGCTCCGTAAGTTGCCATTCCAACATCTCGTCAGAGAAATTGCTCAGCAGAGCAAGACAGATCTCAGATTTCAGAGCGCAGCCATTGCGTGCTTACAAGAAGCGTCCGAGGCTTATTTGGTCGGTCTATTTGAAGACACGAATCTGTGCGCTCTCCACGCGAAAAGAGTTACAATCATGCCAAAAGACATGCAGCTTGCAAGGAGAATTAGAGGAGAAAGACAGTAACTCATTAATTTATATCTTTTCTTCCATTCAGTCTCACATGCGTTCAACTCGGGAGTGGCACCTTTTCTCACACATTTTGTTAACAAATGGATATCCTTTGAGGGCTTTGCAAAATCTTCTCTTTTCGAGTTTCTTTGGTTGTTGATTTTTGAGGGTTTTCAAATTCTTTTACTTCAACTTTGATTCAATTGTTTCCCATTTCTGCAGTGAAATGTCCGTTAGAAAAATAAGGAGTTGGCTAAAGTGGTGAATAAAAAAATAAAACAAGGCAAAAAGAATGTCACATCGAGCAATGCAAAGTTTTGGGACAAAAAAACGGTAGTTTGCAGACTAAAAAAATCAATTGATAGAAAGAAAACATTGAATTTTGAGATCAGAGCTCGATTTCTTCGTTGGGGAGTTGTGTGTCGAAGTCAAGGGGTTCATAACGTTCGGGATCGTCGTGTTTATGAATTTCAGTTTTGGTGACGTTCTTTTCCTCTTCGACCAAAGCGATTTCTTGTGTGATTGTTGAAGTGAAAGGAGCGCGCTTGCCCTGGACATATTCTTTGTGGCGATTTCTAATGAGGCACAGAAAGATAAAGGCCAAAACAAGGAGTACAAACACAGGTATTTGCGCAAATCTGTACGTGTAGTTGTACTTAAATTTGTTGTCTTTGAACACTTTGTCATTGAGAGACTTCACCACAAGTGAGAATACGTTCGGCATGATTATCATCCCCGCTCGCGCCGCAATACGAGTCACCGCACTAAATTGCGCCAATTGCTTTACAGGTGACAACTCCATCACTAACTGCCTTGAAGAAGTGTAGACAACCCCAAGACCAGGGCCAAGGAATAACACTGCTGGAATGATGAAACACTTCGATAATACATAGTTCGGGGGGACACGCATTCCTGTTAAAACTAAAAAGGCCATTCCTATGAAGAGAAAAATTACCATCAGTTGCATTGCACGCTTTGGGCCAAATTTGCTCAAAAAAAGTGCCCAAGGAAGGCCAGTGAGTAATGCCATCACATTTACCATTAAAAAAACAACATCAGTAAATATTTTGTCCATCCCACACATTGTCCCCAATAAGATGATAAATAAACCATTGACTACACTGAGCGCCGAGAGCATCAAACACCACGAAATGAACATGAAAACACAATCGCGATCTTTGAAATACGACTTGATGGAACTCCACAACTCTTTCATTATAATCTTGACAACTTCGAGAAGTGATCGTTTAGCAGGTGGTGTGCTCTTCTCATGGGAAAAGATATATGGCATAAAGATGAATCCCCCGAGGAAGAAATTTGTGAAGAGCAAATACTGAAGCGGCCCGAATGATGGGTCTGTGTTTGGTGGTAACGTGTTCACATTGGAATAACTTCCCCAAAGAAGTGTTGTACAGAACGAAACTGCGATTGCTAAAATTGCGCCTGTAAACGAAACGGCACCACCAACGCCTTGTCCAAACGTCCTTGTCTTTTGATCCATAATGTATGGGATTTGACAATCGTAAAAAAGTCTGACAAGTTCAAATGCTGTTCGCGCAACACAAAAGAGAATGCAAAGAAGCCAAAACGTGTGGAAAAATATACCCGCTATAAGAAAGCAGAAGTAGTATATCACTGCGCATATGACAACAGCACCTTTTCTGAAAGAATAATAATCACTTAACCCACCAACAAAAGGAGAAACAATTAGTGCTATGCAATTCGCTAATGAATTGCAAACAGTTGTTGCTAGGACACCTACAGTATTCTCATATCCACTGTATATCGATAGCAACTGCAAAGTCGGCCCGACTGATATATTTACTATACAATTGTAAAAATGATAACTAATCTCAAAAAAATACCAAAGAACTACATTCCACATATTGGTGGACTGCGCTTCACACTCTTTTGTGGGTGGTGATGCCGATTTGTCCATTTTGGTTTCTAAGTTTTTATTTTGTCCTCAGATTTCTTTTCGGTTGAGTAAGTGTATTATTCTACGTTAAAAATGAAGTTATTATTATTGTACATTTTGTAGTAATTATTAGTAAAAAGTATAAATTTTAATTGAAAAATAACAAAAAATGTTGTAATCCAAAATTTGGTGACGAATTGACAATTACAACTTTTTTCTTTTGTTGTCTCAATCACAAAAAGAAATAGTATTAAATCTTATACTTAGTAGTTATAATAATATACCATATTTTAATTATTTTTTATAATACAACCATTTTTGTGGTTTGTATTTGATTTTTAAATAGTTTTGAGAAACTTAATTCACTTAATTAAAAAAACTTGAAAACACTTTTCATTTTTCTTTAAAACCCATTTTTTCAAAAAAAAAAATTAAAGAAAAAAAGAAACCTCATGTTAAACGAAGATGAACAAAATAATTGAACTAATGTAATTGTGCAATAATTCCCGATACAATAAACAAATGGTTTCAGTTATTATCAATAGAAAAAATACACAAACTAATCACCACCATACAAATATACGGCATTTTGGATTATTTGTTGAGTAAAAAATAAGAATTAGGACATTGTATTGTTTTTCATATGTTTTAACATCTATAGTACGGGTACGATTTTCGGTGTGGAGCTAATAATTTTCTCAACCGATGAACTTTCAATTTGAAAAGAAAAACCAAAGAAATTGTAATTTAAACCAAAGTTTTCAATTAAAAAATGTTTTGTGACGGTTGTTATATGTGCAAGAAAACGGGCTATTGGTGTTTATAACCTAAACCAAAAAGCATATGATAAAAAGAATAGGATTGGTTAAGGAACTCGTTTTGTTTGACATATTGAAATGGCGAAGGAGCTTAACCAATCATGCAAAACATCCGGACTTGTGCGTATGAAAACCGCACCAACCCTTTCACCTGACACTGAAATTCGACAAAGTTATGAGGTGCATAGAAATATGCCGGCTGCATTGCAAGTGGTATCCGTCTCTTTTTTAAAGTGTGAGTTACAAATCGACACATCTTCCGTGTTCAGCCCAAGTGTAGTTGGGATGTATTTTTTCACACTGCAATATGAAAGTGGATACGCTGTCATCCAAAAGAGGTATTCCCAATTCTACTTTTTGGATAACTACCTCCAGTCTAAACTCCCAAAGAAAACACTTCCATCCCTCCCTCCAAAAGAACTGTTACACAGCGGATCACACCCCGACGTGATTCATAGAAGATCTAAGGATTTATCTACTTACATTGAAAAGGTTATAAAGATCCCACATGTCATGGAAGATACCGTTGTAGTGGAATGGTTCCAACAACCCGCAGACAGACATTTAGTATCCTTTTCGAAGCAACGAAAGGCTGGGTATGTGATGAAAGAAGGTTCATTTCTGGTGAAATGGAAGAGGAGGTATTGTGTATTGGCACCGAATGTTATCGCACTATTTAATTGTGCAAAAGACCTTTTGGTGTACCAAGACCCTCTTGATGTGTACTGTTTGAAAGGATGTACAGTCAAACCAGTGTTGGACAAGGGGCCAAATGTGATGACAATTTCAAGAAACAATTTAACCCTGTGCACCCTTCTTGTCGAAAATGATAACGACTTTCTCATCTGGCTTGGAGCTATCCAAGAAATGACAACACAACGACAACTCGTTGATTCCCCGAAGAGAACACAACTCTTTCCCATCAAAACGTCTCATGGAAGAACAAAAACGTCAGCAACACCAACACTGCAGTTTACACTGACGCTGTCCCCCTCATCAGTTAAAGAGTCTTCGCTCAAAAAAACACAAATGAAAAATTCGTATGAAAGAGAAATGAAAGAAACAAAGTTTTGCGAAATAGAAAACACAAACACCGCAATGGTTTTTGAAAAAATAGTAAAAACGATATTTAGAAGGTACAAGAGTGAAATGAATGCAGTCTTCACACACTACCAATTTGAGCCTGGAACTATCACCGAGGAACATTTGAAGTTCTTCGAAGAAATCAAAAGTTTACAACTCATCGACTTCATGGAAGGGAAGAGAGTTGAAGAGGTGTTTCAAAAATTGTTGTCTGTGAGTAAGGAGTATTCCAACAATGTGACTGTTCAAAAGATATTATGGGTCTTCATTAACGTCCACATGCTTCTTAAAAGATCATCGAATGAAGGGAGAAGCGAAATGGAACAACTCCAAACACTCAAGACTATGTCAAATTTGATACACACGTCTGTGGATTCTACGTTTGTGTTTTTATTTCTATTGGATGTGACTTCTTTGATATTCAAACGGTATTTACTATTAGAAAAATGTTGGTGTGTCGGCTGTGTGAACATCAATACAAAATGTCACAATTTTGTGACCATACAAAGTTATGTGAGATCATCATGCGGCGATGCATGAATGAGACGACATGTGTGATTAGATTGGAAAAGGTGTTGTGCTTCTTAAGAGATTCATTTCGATGCCAAATTGTGAAGGATACATTTAAGTATACACAACTTGTCGAGTTGGTTCCAAATCTCCGGCAACAAACAACACCGGAAAAACTCGACAAGATCAATGAGGCCATCAGAACGTTATGTGTTGATTTGACTGACACTTCACTGTTAACATTTGCTCGAGCCATCTCCGATATGATAACGTCATACAAGAAGTTATTAAGGGAATACGTTGAAGGGAATGCAAAGAATATGTGGAGTTTCATTTCTGTCATTCCAAACAAGAGTGCGAAAGAGGTTCAACAGAAAATTGGGTATAACACTGCAACGGTTGAGGACTTTGATGTGGTGAAAAAGTTTAGTGCTGGCGCGTACAGTCGGATTTACTTAGTGAAGAAAAAGAGCACTGGTGACTATTATGCTATGAAGGTGATGAAAAAAGACGACATGGTGAGGAAGAATGTTGTTGATTCTGTGTTGGTAGAAAAGGACTTTTTGTCAAAGGCTCATAATAATAGCGTGGTAAAGCTGTACTGGGCGTTTCAAGACGACACGAATTTATATTTAATACTTGAGTACTGCCCCGGAGGAGATTTGGCGACGCTACTGGAACACATCGGTACACTTGACGAACACGTAGCTAAAGTATACTC